TATTCGAGGTGGGGCCTCACCAGTGCTGAGTACAGGGGCACGATCACTTCCCTGCTCCTGCTGGCCACACTATTCCTGATACAAGCCAGGATGCCATTGGCTACCTTGTCCAGCCACTCTTCCCCAAGCCTGGAGCGTTGAATGGGGTTGTTGTGACCCAAGTGCAGGACCCAGCAGTTAGCCTTGTTGAATCTCATACAATTGCCCTCAGCCCATCGATCCCTCTGTAGAGCCTTCCTACGCTCAAGCAGATCAACATAGCCCCATGCTAGCTACTATGAAGAAAATTAACTCTATCCCAGCCAAAACCAGCACAGATATTTAAATTCTCAGTCACGTAGCATAGAGAAAACAGTGCCAAAAAGAATTATTCAAAGTTACGTATCTGTGTAACTCCTCATCGTAGCAAAGCCAGAGGGTTCATCACCTGGCAGGACCAAGCTAAATGAACAAGTGTAAATCTATCAATGCTTATTTTTGGAACAAGTCTGATGATTGTTATTAACATTTTTGTGGGGGAAGGTCCAAGGACGTGGCAGAATCCCAATATGAGCCAGGTTTGCTCATATAATCATGCTTACTGTCTCTCAATAAGCCTTCAAATTAAGTCTTATGATAAGCATGTTGTTTGAGAAACAGATAGGAGATTTAGTCAAAGGCATTCCTTCACATATTTTTCCATGAGCATCCCACATCTTTAATATTAAACAATATTCCATTGTCTGGAATAGCAGATATTGGACTTGATGCTATTTGAGGTTCTTATACACAGAGGTAATGTTCCAAAACATCACCACATGCAGACTGCAGATATCCAAATATCTGCAGAAAAACAAATGCAAGGGTACACATACATCTCTAAGTGGCACGTAGTACTGTGTACTCTAATACCATTCCAGCCTCAGTGGAAAGCCACTGCTAAGCTGTGTGCTTAGTTGCATGACAGCACACGCAAATCTTGGAGCCAAACAAGTATTATCAGCATTGTACTGACTGTGATTTGCCTTTTCTTGTCTTTCTACCTCAATCCAGTTTCAAATCATCAGCCATGTTACTGTTGAAAATCTCCAGACTAGTGAAGCTAACTATTTACCTTTCTATTAGCTTTATTCTAAAGTTAAGCGTAATGTATGTGTAAGTAAGTTTACAGGTATTATTTTTTTTTCTCATAAAATAATAATTGCTTTTGTTAAGAGGGATCTTATTTTTTAAGGGATTATAGTCCACTTACAGTCAATCCATTTTGCTAGTCTTCTTTAAAAAGCTCTAAGATAACAGCAGTCAATTTATAGCAGTCCTTTCTCTACGCAGAAAAAATACAAAGGTTCTTAATATTTTCCATCCAAGTCTCCTCACAGTCCAACTTGGGAGTGGTAATAGGATGAGAGCCAAGGAATTTCCAGAAATCCTGAAGTGCTAGCAAGTCATTACTGACACAGTGCCATGAATATTTGGTTGATGAAAGTTAGATGCAAGACCATCCTGCCCTTGATTAGCAGATACCATCAATGTATCCCAACAGAAGTCAAAGCTTCTTGCTCGCTTACACAGGGGGGAAGGAAGAAGAAGAAAAAGAAGGGTAGTTGCCCAGTTAGGAATAAACACAACCTTTCAGCACTCTCTGACCTCAAATAATCTCTGCAAGAGACTATTTTAGCTACCACCTTTTCTGAGCCCCTTCCTCACCTCAAGTCATTCTTTGTTTAGGTTCTATTTGTTTTACAGTTTCAAGATTAGAGATCTATGTGTGTGAAAATGTTCTTTAAAAATATTTGTAGATGTATAAAATCTGCAGACCAGTCCTGTGGCAAAGGGTGTCTTCCAAAACAGATTTCATGGAATACATGGGCATGAAGCCCTAATGAATGCAGAACTTCATTAGTCACCACAAAACCCCCAACAGTTTACATGTAGGAATCTAAGAACAGACACTGTAGATTTCTTCAGGGTGATTTCCTGGATTTCAAAGTGGCTAGATCAGGTGCTTCAACATAGTTAAAAGAATTTATATTTTGTTTGTAAACGTGTAATTTGTTGTTCTACCTCCTCCAAAATCCTCAGCCAAGGAATGGTGTGATCCCTGAACATCTCTCCTAGCTTGTTCCCTTGATCTATGTGTACTTTTAGTGCTACTTTTTGGATATTAAGAGAACACTATTAAGAAGAAAAAAACCAAACCAACCTATAACTCAGGTAGAGAACATGGATGGATATTCACGGTACATCTTTGTGGCTTTGTCTGCTGTAATACAGTAAGACAAAAAGCATATGTATACAAGAGAACATGGGACAGGCCTCCAAAGTGGAAATAATGCAACAGCTCTTCCTTTAGATGTGGAAACCCCATTATTTCTGTATCGTATTCTAACACAATAATGACAAAAAGGCTAGCTTTGTGCCCGGGTGAATAAAAAACAAAACAAAACAAGGCATGAACATGCCAGTGTCTCCTTAGTGTGGGTTCTTAGCAGTCAGGGTGCTACCCCATAAAACACCTGCTGTTTTTAAAGAGATTATTTAATCCAAGAGGGAAAACGTTGCACAGGCAAGTTGCTGCATGGCCTCAGATGTAAAGCTCAAGCCTGATATGGCATACCAAATTCCAAAAACTAGTTTAAAAGACTTTGACAAAGGGGTGGGTTTGGAAGCCTTCCTGTCTGCCTCAGGAAGGGGGCACGTTGCTCCTTTGCTCACAACAACGCTGATCTAGCTCTTTTTACCTCTGTACTAGCAGAGTCCAAACAAAACTTCATATATGTATAATTGAAGTATATATATGTATGTGTGTATATATACAGATACACCACCACCACCACCCCTCGTCCTATGTTCTGCTTTTCCAAAACACCCAACTCTCTACTTATTCTCTTTACAAAATACCTTGTTTGAGACTAAGACACACTGCTAACCTACCCCTTTTTTTAGCTCAGGAAATTCTCTAGAACAGTAGAAACAGGTCCAGCCTTCAAGAATCCTGTGGACCAAAAGGATGTCTTCTGGTACTTCCCATAAGATGACCGCATACCAACTAATTACTGCTTAACAGTATCACTAATATCATCCTTTCCTCTTTTCTTTGAACTGGTGAAATGAACTTCCTCACTACTTTTTCATCAGTCCTCCAGCCTTCTTCTCTAAGGTGTTTTCTTCTCCCACTTTGGAAACTGTAGGTCTCTCTTAGCAAACCTAGCTGCCTCTCCCCAAATCTAGGAAGAGGCAGATGACAGGACATTATCCCTTGAACACCAACATTTGAGTGCTCTCTCCCCTTTCAAGGGAATCTGAAAACCTGGCCCATTTTAGATGGGCAGAGTCACAATCGCACAGAAATTAAAAGCAAAGATACATTGTTGGTTTTAATTATCTGAATGTTAAGGACCAATACATAATCTTTCAAGTGTTAATATAAATATTATTGCAGATAAAGTTGTCTGTATCTAAAAGCATGAGTGAAGGCAGTCAGCCATTTCATTGGCAGTGAAAAAATGTTGAAGAAACTAGCTTCATAGCTGTCTTCCAAGTCCTCAGCTCAGAAGCAAAGCTAGGAAGGGATTTCTGCCTGTTGCTGCAGGTGGAGATAATTTCTACAAGCAAGTTCTACCTGCTTCAAGTATTTAATTTTTTTGTGAAGTTAACTTGGTATTCATTTTCTTAGGGAGTTGTAACACAGAAGATTTTAACTAGATACCTTGTCATTTTACTCCCATCCTCCGTTACAGACTGACTCAGGACCAGAGTGTGAAGTGACCTAGATCCTGAAGGAAACACTTCAAACAGGCACCTCACATGGCTGTTCTGGTGAGATTTGTTCCTTCTGGATACACATCCTTAACAGATGTGATTACTTGGAACTGACAACTCTCTCTTAAATTGTTAGAAGCTTCCCCAAACACAGGTAAGATATTTTGCAGTAACTGTACCATGACTTGAATTGGTTTTGGAATTTAATTAACTGTACATGGTGCATTGTATAAGCATGCTTCAGGGTCAACCATTATCACACCAGAAATACGCAGACAGACCAATAAGTAACACAAACTATATTTTCTAAAATTAATATAGAGAAGACCCTCCGTTTTAGCCCTCCACCGAGAATTCCCACTTCTGGGCAATCATCATTAAGAACCGCATGTTCAACAGTTTCCTCAGCTATCACGTCTCACTCTGCATTAGCCTCCGAGCAAGCTGCTTTTACAGTGATGCATGTGATACAGGTGATGAAAATTCCTGGGGAGGAATCTGCATGTTCTATCTTCTTGCTTGGGTCTCACAGCGATCCTTCTGTGAGGAGTTTTCTTGCTGAGAACAGGAAGAGAGTCCTTCTGGGCATCAGGAAAGTAATCAATCAAGATCATTGTTACGCTATAAGTAAGCCATCTTTTATCTCAGTAAGTTCATATCTCACTTGAAGATCCAAACACTCACCCTATACCATCTCCTGAACACCAGGGAAGGATTTGTGCCACTTGACCTCCAGGATACAACTCCACATTTCTGTCACACCATCTCAGGAAGTGTGGGAGATCAAAAACACCAACAGGAGAGCCTATTATCCTCCAGTCACATGGCATATTTGACAGTGACCACAATATTCAAAGTGGTAGCAGCACACTTGCATGAAAGCAGCATTTGTGTACTGCTACCTGGACAGCTAGCAGAGATTTTCTAGTGAAGCTCTGTATGACAGATTATGCACACTCAACCTACTACAGAACTTGGTCTCTAAGAGATATGAACATACTGGAGGGAGTCCAGTGAGGGGCTGCAGAGACAGTTAAGGTACCGGAGCACCTGCCACACAAAGAGAGGCTGAGAGAGCTGGGACTGCTCAGTGCGGAGAAGAAAAGGCTCAGGCTCAGTGTGCACAAGTACCAGACTCTTAGTGGTATCCACTGAAAGGACAAGAGGCAATGGGCACAAATTGGAAAAAAGTACATTCAATTCAAACATAATTTTCATTTATCTGTTTTTAAACTGAGTGTGAACACTGGAACAGGTTGCACAGAGAGGTTGCAGACTCTCAACCTTGGAGATATTAAAAGCTTGACTGGACACAGTACCAAGCAACCTGCTCTAATTGGCCTTGCTCTGAGTAGAGGTCCTTTCCAAGCTCAATGATTCTGTGAAGTAGAAAAATCCCTATGGAGATGTGCTCTGGCACCCATTGTCAGGGAAGATCCTCCTAGTGGTGTGACAAACCTGAACCTGCTGAGAATCCACAAATCCCACAGCCAGACTCATTGCTTTCAACCTCCCTAGCAGAATATGCTCACAGAGACACCAAGAATGAAAAGCTGCTTGTTCTCACAAGAGCTGGAGTTTGATACATACTGTTCATACATATAACCCATTTCTCCTTTACTCCAGAATGCTGCATACCTAGTATTTCATTGTTAGGAAGAAAAGTGTGCTCTGTTAGCACAAAAAAAGTGAGGAGTCTGCAAGACACAGATATATCAGACAGTTATGAGTGGCTGACTTTGTGAACAGTGCAATGTACATATGGACAGCACATTTAGGCAATACGTATTCTTTAATTAGTAGCTGTCATTTCCCGAGGTGTACCACAAAATGAGCAGAATTTGAGGTAGAAAAGCTGCAGATCTGAAAGGACAGCAAGACAAATCTTTTCTTCATCAGTCTGAATTCTAACTCTCATGAATCTATTATAAAGTTAAGGCTATTTTTAACATGCTTTTTTTACTCCGTGTTTCTTGCTTATCAGTAATAAAGTAGTTCTATATAAACCTTTCTCCACTGGTAAGCCTTACTAATTGTGTAGACAGGGGAACGAAGGTATTTTCTAGGCCATCATGGGAAAAAAAACCCCTAAATATATTAAAAAAATCACCCTTTTCTCCATACTGTCCTTCAATTAATTGCATACTAATACATTTTTGTCTTAGTTTGCAGGTGTTACCAATTGCCAGTAGAGTACTGTGATGTGAGGTGGGCTTAGCCAGCATATGCCTAAATGACATACATTTAAGGTATAATCATCCTTTCTCTTGTTTGGGATTTACCAAAAGTCAAGGGAGCTTTCAGCTTTCTACGTGGCCACTATTGAAGAGAGCAAGGCCTCCTCCACATGTCTCTAAAATAAATGGATAGTCCTAAGAGTAAAGGGAAAGGAAAAAAGTCTCTGTAGACAGAAGGTAGCCTGCCACCCAATTCAGAGAAGCAAAACATAATACTCAAGCTATGGCTGCAATGATCCCATTCACTCCAGTTCTATCAGCACCATGACATTTCTGAAATAATCCCAAGAGAAGCCCCACTTACATAACATAATACCTTTGCTTTTAGTAGCTCATTTCTTACTTGGCAAGACATTTGATAGCTCACCTGGACCGGCAGTCTTATGCTCTATAACTACAAGCTTATTCTGTTTAGGAGATGAAAATTTAAAACCGTTCTTAAAATATTGCACTTAGACAATACACAGACTTTATTACAAAGTTGCAGTCATAGTATTTGCTTTTAAGATAAATTAAACAAAAAGTAGATTAGCAGCACAAATACATAGTTTACATCCTTCCACCTCCCCACCCTGACAACCATAGTCATCTGTGAGTCCCGAGATCACCACCTCCAAAAATTAATGGATTTCATTGGTTTTGTACCAACACAGCACATTTTCATTTCCCAAAACTTCCCTTTCTATACATTCAAATCTGTTGTTTCAGGAAACTCTTGAATTCCTTGGCTTACCAGGGAGTGGCAATGGCACCAGCAGTACAGGCCCTCCTGGTGGGTCAGTGAATGGTAGTGAGAAGTCAGGTCCACTAGCGGCTTTTCTGGCTCCCTGCCAAACACATGTGGTTTCTTGGTCCCTTCTCCCTCCCAAAGTTGCCAATTATTAGTTCGTCACGCAGGACCATATTTAAGGCATTATAACAGACATAACCAAAGGAACTAATTTCAATGTATTTCCACAATGAGGTGAAAAGAAAGCAGTTCACTGGATTAAAAAAAATAGCTCGAGTGAAAGCTGTTGATTAAAGAACCAATTAAGAAGCAATTGCCTTAAAAAATGTTACTAATGAGAAGTGAGGCACCTTAAGCTCACAGCTGCTAGAGAAGCAGACCTTTCCCACCACCACCTTTAAAAAGGTCCACTTTAGCGTTGCTCATCTCTGAATTTTGTGCTTTTTCAGTTGTTCTTCGCTCGACCTTTGAAGCTATCCATGACACAGAGGTTTCCAAGATAGTCCGCAACAAGAACAGTTCCTTTCACTGGCAGGATACTGTAAGGTAGGGGAGTTGAAGAAGAGAGAAAAAAACCAGACCAGACATCAGAAGAGTTGTGCAGTTTTATCACAGAATTAGTTTTACCTGGGTAATACTGGCTAAGACTATATACTCTCTAGAATATAGTACCACTGGTCCTCTCCATTACTCTTGTTTGGCAGCCTGAGTCATTAGACAGATCAATTTCCCAGCCTGGCTTGCAACAGAGTCAGAAGTGCCCTAATGCTGGGGCAAGACACCAAGTATGCAGTTACTGAGGAACAGGCCCAGTCTCTACAGCCCACAGTAAAACTGCACCCCAATGGAGTCAGCAAGTCACAGTTAGACATTTCTGTCATTGTTCTGTGGTCCAAGGGTAGACTGAACCCCTAGAACAAAAAAAGAAAACTCCAGAAATGTGTAGAACTTAATGAAAATTCATACCAACAAGTAGAAGCCTGGTCTGCACTTTTAGTCAAAAACATAGCTGAAACATCTCTGGACAGAAAAGAGAGAGAGGAAAAGAAGGAAAGCTATAACTTACTTTTTCAAAGCAAATAAAAAGTAAAGACTGCGTGGTAGCACCAGAATTTCTTGGTCCCGCCGAATAGCAGTGATTATCTTCTCAGCCACGTACTCTGGCTCCAGAGTAGGAAGTAGCCTTGGCCACCTGGAAGAGAAGACATTTCTTACTATAATACAAATTGCTTTGGATTCACATTTTGCTCAAAGTAAGTCTCCATTTTGCAGTTATTCAACTAAAAGAAGAAATAAATGCCACAAATCCTATGAAGAGAACCTTTATTATGTTAGAGAGTGATCGTCCATTGTTATTTTCCCTTTGTATGATCTCTCATAAGACAAATGCACATAGGCCTCATATTAAGAAACACTAGGCTTTTATTTGGCTCCTAAATACTGAGCAAATCTATGCCACTGATTTCATGAGGCAAATGGGAGTTTAGAAACCAGAGAGGACAACTGGAGCATTTGGCTTCTGCAGAGGAAAGGACACCAACTAAATGAATCGTAAAGTACAGAGGGCTTTGCCATTTGGGTTGCCCAGTCACTGGATAGCATCGTTAACACCCATCTGAGGCTCTAAAAATAACACAAGCAGAGAAAAGCCTAGCTCATGTTTTTCATAAAGGAAATGGGAGTATATAACATGCCAAACATGTAAGTTGCATAAAAACCTCACAAGGGTTTACTCACTTGGTTCTACAGCCATCAAACATTCCTGTGTTTATGAAGTAAGGACACACAATTGTGGTTTTAACACCAGTCTTTCGCAGATCTCTCATCTCCAAATGAATTGACTCTGCAAAACCAACTGCTGCAAATTTACTTGCACAGTAATCTGTAAAATAAAGCATTAATTGCAGTTAAACATTTTCATTTACTAATTAAACTTTATTAAATAGGTTCAGTAATTCCTACCACTGAATATGTATGCAGGACCAGTAACAGTTTTTGACAGGGAACAGGGACAGAACTATGCTCTAGTAAGTAAACTAACTAGCCACAGTTTGGGTTTGTTTTTTTCTTTTTTCACTATACAAGAGCAGCACTATAGCATAGAAATGATGTATACACAGCACCTGCAAGAAGTTACTGTCTGATAATAAAATACTTTACAGAGTAGGAACTGTTTTCAGGATTAGATTACTAATAAAATTTGCTTTTGATGTGATCTACTCCTTTACTTTCCCTCTCCTAAGTTAACTGTTGTTCTAGACTGGCAGACAGAGGGTTTCTCATCACATCCCTGCTATCACCTTTCCAGTCTACTGAAATAAGTTATCGTTTCATACCAGACCTTTGAATCCATGCACTGGTTTCTTATGCATCAAGCTTTCAAGACTCTCCAATGTGGTTTCAGCCTGAAACTCAGTTTGTCTTCATTATCACTGTCTTGAAGCTAGATTTCTTTTACGGCAATGTCACGTTATTGACTTTTCCTCCCCCTTTACATACATTTTCCAGAAATGCCTTCTGAGTTTGCCCTAATCTCAACAGTTTCTTTACATCATTGTATGGGTCCTCTTGAATGAATGGCTGAGACAGAGCATGCAAACAGATATCACACCTCTGCCTCTGTACCACATGTGGATTTTAGTAGTTCTTTAAGTTAGGGAAACTTGTACAGGGCTTTGCTTAGCTTGAGAACATGCTTAAAAAAAAAATCTTGTAAAAAAGTTGCCTCTTTGCCACCATTTGGTTAGCCTGCAGGCTAACTTTAACAACATCGAAGTTCTCAGTTTCCAAAGCTCTACATGGCTCCTGGATCCTCTGCCTTGGAAGAAAAACCCGTTTCACAGTACTGCTGAGCATCTGGAAAACTCCTTTGAAAGGAACGGTCTATTTAAGGTCGGCTGGTTTAGAAGTATGACCATTTGCTTTACCTATACACGAAGACCCAGAAACTCAAAATTAGGATTTTTTTTCACAAAGTTTGATTTAAACTCTGCAATCAATACAATTGGCTAAATGAACATTTGCTTTAATACACTACCTGAAAGACGATTGACTCCAGTCAGTCCCGCTGAGCTTGCGATGCTAACCAAGTGCCCATGGTTAGAGGCCATCATTGCTGGGAGAAAGGCTTTGTATGTCTGCAATGCAAGCCAGAGTTGCAATAAAACATTTTACTATGTAAGCTACATGCTGTAATATTTTGAAGGTGCTGTTTTTAAATAAATTCTCCCTACATCCATTATGGAAAGGAGTGCATGCTGTAATATTTTGAAGGTGCTGTTTTTAAAGAAATTCTCCCTACACCTTAAGTGAGCTTCCCCCCTTTCCATTATGGAAAGGAGCAGGGAAGAGTTTGTTGTTTAAACTCTAACCTTCAACTACTAAACTGAGACTTTCCAGGCCCCACCCGTACCACTTTCTCCTCAACACCAGAGACAAACAGTAACTTGCTGAAAGCTAAAGATACAGCTTCAGCTAGTTGTTAAGTTTCTTTCAGCCTAAAGTTCAGCACTGCAATGTTTCAAATGAGAAATGTTCACTACAAACTTTGTAAAATCCCAAAAGTTTGAGTTTCATGTCTTCCTTCCATTAAATTAATATAATCTTTGTGATTAAATTTATTTATGAAGAAACTGAAGCATGTTTTAATATCTCCTTTGCAATTCTTTATGACAGAAACACCATATAGATGACCTGCCTTCCCCTGGAAGGAAGAAAAAGCACATTAAGTTACTTATTTCGGACAAGAGCCCCACTTCTTAAGAAAGTTGCCTGAATATGTGGTATTTCTTACTGAAACTATCATAACCACAAAGCAACTAGAAGACTAACAGAATTGAACACTCCTCTATTACTAGAACAGCAAATTTTTGGGTTGGGCCTGCTTCATGTCAATTCATATTGAGGGATTATAACATATGACTAGCTTCAGAATTTAGCAGATGGTAAACTTCAGTTCTTCAGAGCATTTCCAAATACCAGCAGTTTTGCTTCCACCTACCTACTCCAGAAGTTCCCAAAGGATCCATCCTTCCACCCTTTTTTAATTTTCCAGAATCCCAGGCACAGAAAGTAATTTTTTGTATAATTTCTGATTGAACTTACAAGGAACTATATATCCTTGCATATTTTCCTCAATTCCAAAAGGCAAAATTAACACTGAAAACATGTTGAAAGGATGTTTTAGTATGTACACGCAAAGTACAGGTATTACCCAGAAGTGTGCCATTATGTTCACTTCCATGGTTTTTTCCACAAGTGAATCTGGAGAATCAATAAACCTCTTCCCAGTTACAACACCAGCGTTGTTGATTAGGATGCTAACATCGCCAACTTCTTTTTTAACCTAAAACAAAAAGCCTCAAGATATTACACAATAAACACAAAATATGCTTTCTAAGTTTTCATATATAAAACATAAGAAATAGAAATATTGCACATTTAAACTAAGTTGAACTTACACTTGTTACAGATGCGAACATCTCAGGTTCTTGCACGTTCTCATGTGACGCCTTTTTAGAGCCGAGTTTATAGCTGGAGGTGTGGAGCCCAACAGAGGCTTCCGCTTTCAGCACCTCCGTTTCTTCCTGCAACTGTTCCAGTTAAGTCTCTATTGTAGGGAGCTTAACTAATGCAGCAAGTATTTTGCTACAGTCAACCCATCTCAAAACCAATGAGTCATTCTGTTTGTAGGGCCATTTCTATGCCATGCAGCGAGTACATAGATCCTCAGGCGAGTTCACTAGAATCAGGTACATCAAATCTATGTGAGGGCTTCAATATCTAAACTTTTACTTGTTAGGTTCCTTGCATTGTACTCAAATCCTCTTGTCTTCCACAAAACAACATGAGCACAGAAGCAGGGTGCCATATGACTTGAAGGCTGAAGGCAGCTTGCACAGTACTTGAGTCTTTTGATGAGCAGAAGGAAAATTGGATTCCCTGTTGGTAGCGTTAATTGCCTGCATCCCAAGAATCCAGGGATTCATCTCTCCCACCGCACAGGGCAGCGAGTACTTAGTAGCATCTTAGCATTTCAGATATTTCAAGATTCTTCATGCTGTTTTTCCACTCGTTCTTCTTCTCCTGACTGCTATTGTCAAACGCTGACATGTATTACATAGTAGTTTTTCCACTACTGGTAACTTTGTGTTCCACAGCACACACATTAAACCAGACTTCCCTACAACTTTCTGGGGGAGCAGATGGAGTTTTCTGCCCTCAGTGTGTTGGAATTAGAATGGGCAAATGGTAACTCTTCATAAGAAGTATTCCTCACATGCATAAGGAGTGAGAAAGATCATCTGTAAAATTAATTTCCTCCTTACAACCTTTTTGTTTATTCAAGTATCTTAACTACTTCAAGCAACTTTACAGGTCAGGAACCTAAGAGCTTATCTTACCAAAGAAAAAGGTTTTTTGACAAATTTATTTCTCATTAAGACAGCCTGAAATAGTACTGTGTCTCCATTAATATTAGCTCTAAGGACAACACAAAAATGAGAAAACTGTAGAAAGGGTAGCAGTTTGTTATGAAACTTAAACAAAAGCTGTAGGGTTCTGAATAAAGGAAGATATTAGGACATGTGCATTCACAAAAGGCAAAAGCCTCATGAGCTTCTGGGGCTCACTGTGCATAAGCTTGTTACTAGTGTATTTGCTTCAATTCTAACACTGTACCAGAATCCTTATAAGATGGTTCCCAGAAAAATAAGTTGGCTAAAAAACAATATCTACACATTTAGCTCAGCAAGAGGAAGTACAGTTCTCATTTTAGCTCCAGACTGGGAACTTTCATGAACAGACTCACTTGAGAGAACTATAGGGCAGCCGATATCAAGATACTGTGCCAGCTCTCAGGAGAATGAAAATATTTACTGCAGTATTTGCAATACAGTTCATTAATCTGAGCTACCTGGGAAAAAGGAAATGAGTACTCTATATGTTGTTTAATTTGTGATTTCCAGATCAAGTGCTAAACACATGCTGATCAGGAGCTTTGGGAAACCATGTTGATTTTATGCCATCTTGCATATCATAGTTATATCATAGTTACAGATCACAGAACCTCATTTCCTAATGGCATTTCTTTTGCAAGGTGCCTACAGTGACTGAAAAAACCACAAGCAGACCAGGTAGGCTAGCCTATATAACAGTAAAGAATTAAAGGATAATTTAACACCTATCCTTTATTCTAGCTTAACTTCCTCATCTTCCTTAAACTTGTTCCAATCTTGCCTATGTTTGTTAACTGAGGGTCTAAAAAAACCAGAAAGCAGCCTTGGTGGGATCGTACAGAACAGCTTTTATAAAAAAGTTCATCAGCCTGAGCCCCTCTCCACCTCAGTCATTGCTCATACGTTCTTGTCCATTTATTGCCCCTCTTGAAAAGTCGTCATGTAACAATTTAAATATTTCTGAAGCAGCGCCACATGATCTCCATAGGCAGCCTTGGACAAGTTGTTCTAGTCACCAACCTGAGTACATACCCCGCATCACAAGTTAAAAATAGTATGCATTCAGAGGCATAAATGTAATTATTAGTAAGTGATGCTTTAATGCGGCCTCATGTCAGATGATCTAGCAATTCTGGAAGCCTGGACTGGTACCCCAAATCTATGCTTTGAGGCAAATAACAAACACCTACATAAGTGGCCATGCTTCTTTTGTGCAAACAAAAGACAAAGGTGGGGGATATGGCACATACAGTTTAAAATTGGGTGATTGGGACATTCAGGTTACATGGGAAAAGGGAACCAGAAAGAGAACCTTGATCATCCCATTTCTAACAAATGGCAAAAACCTGAACAACCTCTTCCTTTACCACATGTCTCTACTCAGTCTTCCAAAATATATTCCCACTTTGGATGGAATTCAAGGCAGATTCAAGTGCTTTCTTGCAACCCGCACAAATAATGCCAGCTTTACAACACCTCTGTCCCTGCTGCTTCCCTACTAGCTAGATGTGGCAGCTCTTTCCTCAACAAACTGGCTGTTTTAATTCCAGTCTCCTCTCAGCTCTCCCCTGTGCATGACA